TCCTGCACACCCCCTACTGGGGATCGAGGCCACAACCCAGGCATGTGCCCTTGGCTGGAATCAAACCTGGGACCCTTCAGTCTGCAGGCCGATGCTCTATCCATTCAGCCAAACCGGCTAGGGCACACTTTACACTTTAAATGGGTGAGTCGAGCCCTAGCTGGTTTGGCTCAATGGATAGAGCGTCAGTCTGTGGACTGAAGGGTCCCAGGTTCGATTCCGGTCAAGGGCACATGCCCGGGTTGTGGGCTCCGTCCCCAGTTGGGGTGTGTGAGGGAGGCAGCCGATCGACGCTTCTCTCTCAGCATTGATGTTTCTCTCCCTCCTTCTCCCTTCCTCTCCGAAATCAATAAAAATGTATTCTAAATAATTAAATATATAAATGGGTGAGTTCTATGTCCTGTGACTTACATCTCAATAAAACTGTGTTAAAGAAAGCAGAAAACAAAACACAAGCGAGCAAACAAGAAGGACCCCTTGGGTAGGTCAGACTCCGTCCGAGCAGGGCCTGAGGGGGCCAGGAGAGACTGTGTGTCCCCTGGGGCTGTGCTCACCTGCACTCTCCGTGTGGCAGGTCACGGAGGCAGCTGGGGCCCTCAGTCCGTCCCAGATGGTCCTGACCTTGGCTTCGTAGGACTGAGCGGGCTGGAGGTCCCACACGGAAAAGCCCTTCCCGCAGGAGGCTCGGTCCCCGGAGACCTGCTGCCAGCCCACCTGCAGCTCAAAGGCCTCATAGCCGCCCAGGGGGCAGGTCCAGGTCAGGGTGACCCCATAGCCACCAGGGATGCTGTTGCAGGAGATGCTGGTGACGGGGTCCGGGTCTGGGAGGTGGAGACAAGAGGACTCGGTAGGTGCCGGCCAAGAGGGTGTTCCCTCCCTCCCCCGCTTCACCGCCAGTGATGCCAATTCTGTGAGCGCGACAAGGAGCCCATCCTTTCCTTCCCCAAACCCAAATACTTCTTCATCCCTTGCTTTCTAAATTCCCAAACGGACTCCCAACATGTCCCCAAAAACTACAACTCCCATGAGCGCTCTTACTCTCTGGATCACTGCAGCTTATACAGTCAGGGCCCCATAGCCTGATGGGATTTGTAGTCAACTCACTTCTCATCACCCACAAGCTCCCCCCATCCTCACCCTCCCCAAAACAGGTAAAAGGGGGCCCATCTCACATGTGGATGCCCGGAGGCTCTGTGTAAGTTCTATGTCCTGTGACTTACATCTCAATAAAACTGTTTTAAAGAAAGCAGAAAACAAAACACAAATGAGCAAACAAAAAGGACCCCCTGGGTAGGTCGGACTCCATCCGCGCATGGCCTGAGGGGGCCTGGAGAGACTGTGTGTCCCCTGGGGCTGTGCTCACCTGCACTCTCCGTGTGGCAGGTCACGGAGGCAGCTGGGGCCCTCAGTCCGTCCCAGATGGTCCTGACCATGGCCGTGTAGGACTGAGCGGGCTGGAGGTTGGACACAGGCAAGCCCCTGTCCTTCCCGCAGGAGGCTCGGTCCCCAGAGACCTGCTGCCAGCCCACCTGCAGCTGAAAGGCCTCATAGCCGCCCAGAGGGCAGGTCCAGGTCAGGGTGACCCCATAGCCACCAGGGATGCTGTTGCAGGAGATGATGGTGACGGGATCTGGGTCTGGGAGGAGGGGACAAGAGGACTCGGTAGGTGCCAGCCAAGATGGTGTTCCTTCACCGCCAGTGATGCCAATTCTGTGACCGCGACAAGGAGCCCATCCTTCCCTTCCCCAAACCCAAATACTTCTTCATCCCTTGCTTTCTAAATTCCCAAACGGACTCCCAACAGGTCCCCACAAACTACAACTCCCATGAGCGCTCTGACTCTCTGGATCACTGCAGCTTATATAGTCAGGGCCCCGTGGCCTGATGGGATTTGTAGTCCACTCACTTATCACCCACAAACTCCTCCCCCCCTCCCCGAAACAGGTAAAAGGGGGCTCATCTCACATGTGGATGCCCGGAGGCTCTGTGTGGAACCGGCTACATCGCTCCTCTCCGCCCACACGCTGAAGTTGTATGGAGTCCCAGGTTCCAGGCCCTTCACCACATACCAAGTCTCTTTGGTCCTGGCTATCTGGTCGACCTGGTGTCCTTGGGGGTCTCCTTCCCCCTGGGGAGGTCCCCCACCGGCCCACTGGACACAGTATATGTAGAGCTGAGAGCGGGGGTCTGCCGGGGCCTCCCACCGCAGGGCGATTGAGTTGTTGGTCTGAGTTTCCTTCTGCAGAGCTGTGACCTCGTTAGGAGCTGAGAATTGAGACAGACAACTCAAGGGGCGGATCCCCAAGGCCCCTCCCACCGAGTCTGCTCACCTCCCCTTCCCTGCAGGTGCCCCCGCCATCGGATCGCATACTTCCCAAGAGGTGGGGACCATGGTCGCTGGATCCTCTCTGTCCTAAGTCCACATACCTGGGTCCCACTCACCACCCTTCCACACACAACAAGTTCCTAGACGTTTCTGCTGACTTCAGTCTTCTTAGCCCAAATGGCCAAAGACTGAAGAGTTCCGGGTCCCGTGCATCAGCAGTGCACCTAGTCCCTGGGGTCATTCTGCTGCCTCTTACGCTCGGGACCCACACCTGCAGGCTGGGAGGCGGGGCCCCGTTGGACCCGCCAATTCAACAGGACAAGCTGTGGGTGACCGTCTAGCTCAGCGGTTCTCAACCTGTGGGTCGCGACCCCTTTGGCAGTCGAACGGCCCTTTCACAGGGGTCGCCTAAGACCATCCTGCATATCAGATATTTACATGACGATTCATCACAGTAGCAACATGACACTGATGAAGTAGCAACGAAAATAATTTTATGGTTGGGTCACAACGTGAGGAACTGTATTTAAAGAGTCAGAAGGTTGAGAGCCACTGGTCTAGCTGGGCACTGTACTGATTCCTGGACAGCCAGGGGCTCTCTTCGTCCCCAAAGACGGACCCTCCCATCGGGAAACCCGGGTCGCTGAGGACAGACACCCCCTGGGAGGCAGACCTACAGGCTCAAGGTCTGATGAGGCCGGTGAGGGGTCGCCAAGCACAGTTCGTCTCCCAGGAACCTTGCACCATGGCCCCATCACTCTCCCCACAGCCCGGTATGCTGGGCCCGGAACTAGCCTGGGTCTCACCTGTGGCCCCCGTGCGGGTCTCGTTGCTGCTGCTGACCCCGTTCCTCTCCGCCCACACGGTGAAGGTGTACAGGGTCCCAGCTTCCATTGCGTTCACTGTGATCCTGGTATCCGGGGTGTTCTGGGTCCCAGTGGCAACCCCGCCCTCCATGGTCCAGGAGACCCAGTAGGTGTAGGGAGGGTGATCCGGGCCCTGGGGAGCTGTCCAGCTCAGGGTGATGGAGCTGGTGGTCTGGTCCTGGACCCCGAGACTTGTCACTGCATTGGGGACTGGCAGAAGGAACAGAGAGATAGTCAGGCTTCCTCGCCCCTCGTCCGCAAGATCCGGACACAGTCATGTTCCTGCTCCCTGCGCAGCCCAGCTTGTTAGGAAACACTTCCTGGCCCTGGCTGGGTAGCTCAGTGGGTTAGAGTGTGGTCCCAATATGTCAAGATTGGAGTCCGATCCCCGGTCAGGGCTCATACAAGAATCAACCAATGAACGCATCAAGGGGAACAACAAATCAGTATTTCCGTCTCTTTCTCTCACTGCCCACCCCACTCCCACCCCACCCCCACTGCCCAGCCGGCGTGGCTCAGTGGTTGAGCATCCACATATAACCAGGAGGTCCCGGTTCGATTCCCGGTCAGGGCACATGCCCAGGTGCCAGGCTTGATCCCTGGTGTGGGGTGTGTAGGAGGCAGCCAATCGATGATTCGCTCTCATCATGGTCTTAGGTGACCCCTGTGAAAGGGCCGTTAGACCGCCAAAGGGGTGGCGACCCAGAGGTTGAGAACCGCTGGTCTAGCTGGTGACTTTACAGATTCCTGGACAGCCAGGGGCTCTCTTCCTCCCCAAAGACAGACCCTCCAATCAGAAAACCCAGTCGCCGAGGACAGACATCCCTTAGGACAGTGGTCGGCAAACTCATTAGTCAACAGAGCCAAATATCAACAGTACAACAATTGAAATTTCTTTTGAGAGCCAAATTTTTTAAACTTAAACTATATAGGTAGGTACATTGTTATTAACTTAATTAGGGTACTCCTAAGCTGGCCTTTGCTAAAAACATCCTCAATCTGATTGAGGTACGTTCGCTGAGGTCGACCCCTTCCAACTCTCCCATC